TTGATTATTCGATAATGGCCTTTATTAAGTAAATATGTAAGTATATTGAAGGTTCCTATGGTTTTGCCTTGTAATTTTCCCAACAACTTGATAACCAGATTGATAAAATTCTTAACTAGATATGATGAAAGTTCATCATATTTTTCTCCAGACTAAACTGGAGAAATATGACTTCATGCCATCTTCAGCAAATGAAAATTAAGATGATGAAATCTAGAAAACTTGAACATAACGCGAATTATTAGTTGTAATACGCGAAATAACGCTACTTGGAAACTATTAAATAATCTTAGCCCAGATTTCACTAAAAGAACTAACCGTTTTCTAAATGTCCCAACAAACCAAGCGACAAAACAAAACAAATTAAAATGAGGTTTGATTGAATCAATTAGTTGAGCGAATTAGTTAAACCAATTTTTCAATGATACCGAACTTATAACCCCTTATCTAAATCATTAAAAATAACAAATCTACTTACATTGACGACAGGCTTTACAAAGTAAAGGAAGAAGTTTGGAATTTAAAAGTTTAAGTGGCTTGTGTAGATAAACAGTTGTGTCCTAACTGTTGACTTAGTTAAACCTGACAATGATCTTGACGACAGCAAAAACCATCAGCCGATATATTTACCACATCAACTATTCAAAGTGCTTAAATGTATGATTCTGAATAAGATTTCATCAAAAATAAATGCAAAACTCATTAACGAACAAAATGGTGTTAAATTAGAAAGATCTTGTACATTACAAATACTGAATCTGACCCAAAAAAATATAGGGCTTAAGACCGCTTATGATAGTGTATATACCAGAAAACTATTATAAACAGAGCATAATATTACAGAAGACAGTAAATTCTCTTAAGCGTGTCTTCTTGCAGAACAGAAGACTTTTCGTCTGTCTTAAATTGGGAATACCAGCATATACTAAAACTTTTTTCTACGTAGATCTCGTTGCGCGAAAAGAAACTTTTGTCGAAGTGGAGGCAACACTAAATGAAGCCTTCACAATGATATCAAACTACTACCTACTACTTAAAATACCTAAAACTTAATCTCAGAAAAGCTAAAATGGGCTCCTTCTACCTTTATAACAGAGTATCCAAAATAAGATCAACATTCAATGCTCCTTTCACATTGTTTCCTCTATATACCTTGTGGTTATCCTTGAAAGTGCGATGTCATTAAACAATCATTGTTTAAAAGTAAAAGACAAACTAACACCCAGAAACGCCACTTTACCAAAATGGGTAGACTTGTCTTCAGTTGCCCTTTGCACATATTTTCGATTGCCTATTTAGTATTCCATGTTTCTCAAGGATCGTCACTTGATGTTACTATGCTCGTTAATTTTGTTTTAAGTGTGTTTACAAACCGAGCCTTTATTTCTTCATCTCGGAATTTTGTGACATCCGTTTTTTGATCAATAGTACGTCTATCAAGCTTTTTACGCTTAATTTGCAATTTGCATACTAACGAGTTATGATCACTAGATATTTTGGCTCCGGTATAGGCTTTTACTGATTTTATTGCATTTTGAAAATTTTGTATTCTAAAGAGTCTGCTGATGATTTTCAGATGTAACCATTTAAACCAGTCGCCTTGGCGATCGCTGAAAGAAGGTATTACAAACAGATAATATGTGTTCTCTACAAAACTACATTATGTGGTTTCCTCGCTCATTTCTTGTCCCAAGCTCATATTTGCCTACAATGTCTTCATTTGGTTCTCTTTCAACATTTGCATTAAAGTCACTTATCATGATGATGATTATCATCATAAGACATAGAACGAAAGAATCAAATTGAAGACCATCTATATTAACTACATGTGCAGTATATTTAGTAATCTGATCTCTATTGGAGACACCCTGCACTAAACTAGACCCTCTGCATACAAATAATACGGTGATCCAGACATCCCTTTTTTTGGATGGATAAGATTTGGACGAATAATTTCCCAAATATTCCCATTTAACTGCTATTATTCATTATTTTCTTCTATAACTCGTGTTGTTTAATGTTAACATATATTTCTACAAAATACTCATACTCATATTTTTTGTTCCCTGTTAGGCCTCAAAAATTATTTTTTCGTGTTTCTTTCGCAGATATTTTCGGCATCTTATTAATGCAATTAATCTCTTTTCTCGTTCTCAGCCTGACTTGTTTGTTCACTTCTGTTCTGTATTTTTCTCGATGTATTTTATTTCATGTGCCCTAACCTTTTCCGATCCTACATTTTGCAATACGTCTTCTTTAATTTTCTTTTTTTTTTCTTCTACAAGCTGTTAACTATTTTTATTTACTGCTTTTTTTGCTTCGCAACCAACATATTTCGTTTTCTGTTTTACCACTAGTTCTTTAATATTTTCCCGGTAAACTTTTCAGTATATTGCTGTACAATACGGGTTTCTCATTAAATTAATTAATAAATTATTTATTATATTTTCTTGTTTTATAGCTTTGTGGTTTTTAATGTTTTCCGGTTTAGGGTTTTGCTAATTTATTTTATTTTGACTGTAACCAGCATGCGGTATCAATCTACCTCATCAGTGCCTCTTAGGTCTTTAATTATTTACATATTTAATATATATTTAATAACGAACATAAAATTCTTCACAATTTTTCTTCTGCTTCCACTTTTCCTGGATAGAGACGTGTCCCATAGTCTACTTACGTAGGATGATGATGGATTGTGGTACTTAGTTCCGCTGTAGATATTGAATGTTGACGTCCACCAGTAACACAACAACGACAAAGCGTAATAAATATTAAAACTGAAATGAAATTGCACTCCCCTTATTAATGTGTAATATTTTACCAAATTCAATTAACTGATAGGTCGAATATGAATTTCCCTTTAGAGGTGAATTTTCTGCAGTAGCGGAGTATTTCGCAAAAATTTATTTGTCAAAGAGGACAAGCAAAATTATTTTCTTTTTGTGTAAATTTAGAACGGTGGCGGTGGTTCATTCGTATATATATATTTATCGTGATCGTGATGTTCTGGTTTTTAATGTTATATTTTAGATTAGTTAATTTTTTTCCCGTTTCTTGTAGACTGCAATTATGCTTGGGATATAGTTTATCGAGCTGTTTTGGCTCCAGTTTTAATTTAATTTTAACATTTTTGAATATGTAGATACCTATGCCTGTATGTTAATAGGAAAATACCTTGAAACCGTTGTAATATTTGAATATAGAGGCTGGACTTTTGTCTTTCTGAAGCATAGAATGCGCAGTCGACATACAACTTACAGAAAACTGGCCTGGCATATTTATTATGCACGCAGTGATAGCTAGCGGATTAGATCAAACATAATAAGAGAAATTGTTGTTATTTTATGATAAAAAAGACCAATAAAATAGCAACAAACAAAATTAGCCCATATTGGAACCGTGCTTTACCCTAAAAACTATTGAGTGGAAGTGTCAGGCTGCACTTCCCTTCATATTGTTACGAACATACATTCGGCGTTTTCCATGTAACGGTTGCCTCTCGAAAGCGACTAGAAGCTTTCAGCGATCGAGCACGGGAGGGATCAAACCGTCAAAGAAGTGAATTAGAGATGGGCTACTGCAGAAAATTCTAGTACATAATAACTTGAATCGAAGCCAATAGAAAAATTGTGTTAATAAAAGGTCAGTCTGTTATATGTACAATAAAAAATGACTGTCAAGCACACTCGTAACGATATAACTAATTTGATTCTTTTAACATTTTGTTCAGCTATTAGCTTTCATAATAAATATAAAATTTAATTAAGAGATCTTAAGAGATTTAGTCATAGTAAGTATTGATAATTTGTGTATGAACATTAGAGAATTTTCAAGTGTAATTATACGTATTAAAGCATAGGTTATATGTTTGGTTTAATTATAAATTTATTTGATTTAATAAGTTGAAAGTAATTTTTAAAAATTGTTTGATAATTTATTATCACATATTTATTAATTTTCATTTATTTTCCCATTGCCATTTCTCTCTCCAAGGCAATAGTATAGATATTACTTTGAAGCCACGTACAAAAATTAACGATAAAAATATCCCTGAAATTAAAAATTTATTTATTAAAAAAGAGAAATTTATTTGTTTTGCAAAATGATTATATGAATTAACTTACACATTTGCCCAAGGCAAATTAAGTTAAAAAAACATCATAGGAGTCATTATTTGCAATTCATAATATATATATATATATATATATATATATATATATATATATATATATATATATATATATTGTTATGATATGTAAAGTCGAGAAAAATATTGGCTTACTTAATATATTTCAAAGTTCAAAAATTAATAATTAAAATAATTCGACTAATAAGCTATAAAGATATTTCGAAGAAGTGAAAGTCCATTATCTTTGGATTACCTGTAGCAAACAAAATGTAAGATATGCATAAATTATTTTCTTTGTAAAATATATTCGAGTGAAATTAGTGAAATAAGACAATGCGAGCGGGCTTTCCAAATGGATTTGTACAGTAATTAGAATAATAGAATAGATATTTAGAAATATATTTCTCTGTTAGTTCTTAAGAATTTGTAGAAACCGATTAGTTTATTAATAGTTTTTAGGAAATTTATAATTGTAGGTAAAATTGTTTTTTTGTTGTTGTCTAAATGAAGAGATGGGGATATGTATGACGAGTTTTGATTGGAGGAGATTGAAAAAGGTGGGATGGTTTGTAAGAATGAGACTTTAGCTAGTTTTTTGAGGGAAAAAAGTTGGGCAGTTGTTTTCCAAGTGTGCAAGGCGAACAGTCATTGTTCTCTGCATGGCATGTTATCTTTAATGGCAATGACGGTTCATTCTCTTTAATTCTTGACTAAACTAGAAAGGTGGCGCCACCAAAAACTTTCTTTAAATGCGCATGTCATCGCCACAACAACACAACGCCATTTTATTTTGTCTATGACTCGGTGTTTGTTTACGTCTTTGGATTTATATTATTTGATTGTGTTTTTCTTTTACTCACAGTTTGGCTTTATAGCAAAGACTTTTACTTTAAAGTAAAAATTCAGTTTATCTGAAAATTTATTAATAGATCTTTAAAATGATGTTTAAATGCTGTGTACCCGGCTGCAAAAATTACCAAAAAGATGCTCAAATGCATATTTTTCCGAAAAATCAAGGGGTAAGTCATAATTAATATTTGTTTTAATATTAAAATGAAAAATAGCTTTTATTTTGATTTGTCATTAATATTTTAATAACGATTAACAAACAAGATATTCGTAAGTATGTATCTCTAACCTTAAAATGTTTTAACCTTGCTTGTGTTAGAACAAATGTAAAAATATCCAGAAACTGAAGTATTTACAGATGATACAACAAAAAAAGGAAAGAAGTAATAGATAATATGATTTACATTGCTATTATTGTTATGGACTTTAAATATATTTTTTTATGCTATATCTATTAGACACTAATTCTTGTATGTTTTTTGTAGCTGTATAATGTTTGGATTAAAAGGATTGGCCATCCCAATTTACAAGAAATTCCAATGGAGAAGGTACGAACATCATGCCGTGTATGTAATGTCCATTTTGGGCCAGATGCACAATACATTGGACTAATAAATAAATCCACTATTAAAAAAGATGCTATTCCATCTTTATTTTTACCACTAAGTAAGTATGTTTACGTTCTTAAAATAATTTTGTTACTTGTAAATTGTGTCGTTAATTTTTTAAATAAATATTTTAATTTTTGAATTTTGTTTTTCTTCCTTTCCTTTCCTATTATGTGCAGTCTGTTCATAATTGCAATAAAAGATTCCACAATGTAATGCAAATTACAAAAAATAATCGTTAATGTTAATGTAAGAAACAATTGTCGATTATTTTTTATAATTTGCATTATGTTGTAGAATCTTGTTTTACAATATATGTTTTACAATACATGTTTTACAATAATTAGCAACAAAGCTTATTCGAACGTTTAAAATTCCCGCCGCGTCATTACCCATTTAGTTCATGACTAAACCAGGCAGAGGGCGCTGTATACATTGCAATTTTTGGTATTAAAGAGTTGCCTATCTATCTCTACTTATATATATTTAATCTATGGTTCTCTGGTGGTTCCCGAGAGGTAGCAAGCAGTAGAAGTGAATGTTAGTGAGTTTTTCGTGGAGTTGTCAGTGTATCTGACAGAAGCGGATCCAGTAAAATATTGTAAATTATATTTTTCTACTTATATTCCAAGAGTCACTGTTCAGGCCAGAACGAGAGATGTTTATCGAGAGGAAAAATGGCTAGCATCATTTGAACGATACGTGCATTTGAAGGAGATCATTAAATACGATAGGTTCGCAACAATTTGTTGTAAGATTGTTGATTACCTAGGCGACTGCTAAAAATAGATAGAGTAGGCTACAAGGAACAAGGATTTGGACAACTCGTCATCAGAGAGATAGTTTTACTATTTACCAGTTTTCTTTATTAACAACACAATTTTTACAATTGCTTTAGAAAAGATAGGAATATTTTGATTAGGAGATTTAGACAACAATTATGATTTGAGATTTTAATTTATATTGTTTGTACCATGTTTGATAATCAATATATGAGATATTGTTTGTTGAAGATATTTGAGTGTGAATTTTATTTCAATATAATTTTATTTCAATATATAATGTTATATCATATATGTTTTATTATTCCGGTATTCTTTGGAACTTACCTCTCACATGTAAAGCATAGATATTGAAGCACGAGTGTAACCCTGAGATAAGAGAATTAAATAGTGTGATAGAATTATAATCATATCATTTTAATAAGCTTAATGAATTAATTAATTAGCTAATTATTTGCTTGGCGCACTTAAGACTTTGAATATCACATTAATATATATGAAACGGATAAATATGAAACGATAGATATGAAGTATGAGTGAAATATCTAAAAAGTTTTACAAAATATTAAAGAATAATATTTACAAGAAGCTGCAGTGAAAGTCTATAAAAGATTTTTATTTTATTCCGAGTTTGTAGTAATACTAATAATATTTTTCAAAGACTAGACACAAAAATTTTTTTTAAGTAAATTATCACTTTTTGTAATTTTTCTATTTTACAATTTAGCAGATCATATATTGTTTTATTATGGCTTAGCTGTGTTAAATGGAATTTATTCTTTTATGAAGAGTGGTAGGTCCGTCGTTGATTTAAGCGCGTCCGCGTCAGTATAAACGTGGGGTTGGTGGTGTGGCGGAGTTGCCCCAGACTAGGACTCGTTTGGGATTGGGGATTGGGACGCCATTCGCCATTGCTGTCTGTCGTGCCCTCGATCCATCATTCGTATGACACATATATAGAAATTTATTTTGCGGTATCGATGCATTGGCTACGAGTGTCAGTGATCCAGGCTCTGGCTCCTCGCGGCGAAGTGACGCTTTGATTTATTGTTGACGTCGCTAATCTATGTGACATATATATGTTTTTATTGTTTGTGATCGCCGGCCACCCTGTTTTAATAAATTCTGATAAAATTTCGATAAATTTCGGGAGATCCTGAAACTTTTTCCGCAGTTTATATGTAAATTAAATACCTTGGAACTGCGCCATGTTCATATTTGCTAACAGCACCATATATTATCCGATACGAAATACACTAACTTTCTGTTTTGGGCAAGATAAAACCAAAATAAAACCAGATAAAAACTTGTTACACTCATTTATTCCATCTGCCATAACCCAAAACGTATACGGGGAAAAATAAACTTATTTTAAATTAATCCACAAATTTAAAGTAGTTTTTTTTTATATGGGTATTTATATTATTAATTATCAATAAAAGCTTGAAGATACAAAGAGGTAGATAATTTCGCATTTGAACTGGTGCCGTGTACTTTATATTGAAAAAGTAAACAATTTTTTAACGTTAACACTGACTTTTTAAAAACAATAAAAAATTAGCATTACACTTCATTTGATACTGTATCTTTTAGTGCATGCCGAATCTACTTATATGCTACATATACGACATGTAAATATATATATATATATATATATATATATATATATATAATATAATATATAATATAATATATAAAAGTAGAAAGTATCGTCAGAGGCTAACAGAAGACAAAAAAATATTAACACCATAAAAAGCATAGAATTGGCTTACATTGACCACATCATGCGTAATGATAAATAACGACTTCTACAGTTGATTCTACAAGACAAGATTGAGGGTAAAAGAGGCCCTGGACGTAGACGTATATCGTGGCTGGCCAATCTTAGGAAATGGACTGGTCTAACGTCAACTGATGCATCGAGCTGATATTTCGAGCTGCTTGCTGTGAATAGAATAAGATGGGTCAATGTGGTCGCCAACATCTCTCAAGATAGGCACATTTAAAAGAAGAAGAAGGTATCGGCATACCTCACAACAAAGAAAAAAATATTATAAAATATGCATATAAGATGGAAGGCAACCGAATATATGTATTTCTGACTATTGGTCGTCTTTAGTACGGTTCAGCCAAGTTAGAAAAGAAGCATGGTAACTTGGGAAAGGATCACTACAGGAGCAATGCGACCAATGTGTGGCAATAATGTTAGAAGTTTCTGAGATTTCCAGAGCAACAAGTTATATCCCCATTGCTCCTGTAGTGATCCTTTCCCAAGTTTTTTTTAAATTCAAATATATTTAAATAGTATATGCATAATCACGAGATTTAATAATTGTATTTTCAATCTGTTATCATCGAATGGTATGTATTTTTTTGAGAGAGCCAGTAAATGATGTCACCTTTTAGCCAGGCAGTGGTTGGTGTTACCTGCAAACGTCGAATGTGATATGATACATTGTCCATAATAATGATTCTAGGTTTGGTAGAATCTTCAAAATCTTGCCACGCCATTGAACAAGAATAACTTCAAATGTCAATATTAATCACATTCCTACATTAACGTGATGCATATTATAAATAGGTATTTTTTCAATACAAGTAGCTTTGTCGTAAGTTTTTATGAAATTTTTCGTACGCCATTGGAAGACCTACAATAGCAGTGAAACGTCACTTTTATTTCTAAAAATTTACTGCCTACACTTTCGATTCTTTATTATAGAGTTACTAGACAGAAAATAGGCTGTAAGTTTCTTCGATCAAATTTTGCTCCAATAGTTCTGATTGATTTTTCATATTTCTTTTCTGTGGTATATCAGTATGTACGTTTATATATCAGTATGGACGTTTTAGCAGTAATTATCTGCCATCCGGGCCCAGATGAAATACTTGTTGGAGGGAGTGAAATTATTCTCGAAGAATTGAAAATTTTTTTCAGTAAATGTCTTCACAGAGGAGAGGTACCAGATGATTGGAATGAAAGATTGACAATACTTCTCTTCAAAAAGGGAGACAGGGGAGATCTGAAGGCTAATCTCCCTGCTATCCCAAATGTACAGACTGTTTATGAGAGTAATAACTAAGAGGTTAATGTCGAAGCTCGATGGCTACCAACCGGTAAAGCAGGCATGATTCCGAAAGGGTTACAGTACAGCGGATCATCTTCTCCAATATGAAGAAAGCCTAGAGAAAGCCAATGAATATCACTTCAAATTATACATTGGCTTCGTTGATTATGAAAAAGCATTCGACTCCATAGAACTTTGGGCAATAGAGAGATAGAGCTATGAGCAACTGCAGGATAGACTCCCGATATAGAATGCCCATTCATAATATTTACAACAAAGCTGCAATGAAAATACAAATAGATGCGATAAACAAAGCTATACCAATCAACAGAGGAGTTCGTCAGGGAGATATTATCTCACCAAAGCTATTCACACTTGAACTGGAAGACGTGTTCAAAGACATTAACTGGGTAGATAAAGAAATCAATGTTCAATCAACGAAATACAACAATGGAGACCATGGTTAGGAAAAAGGAAAGAAAAGTAGAGGAAGACCACAAATGAGATGGGTTGATGACATAAAGAAGTTCGGAGGACACAACTGGAAGCAAGTAGCGCAAAATAGAATACACTGGATTGATTTGGGGGAAGCCTATGTCCAAAGTACCTTCCTTAAGGCTGAAGAAGGAGAAGAAGAGATCTACCATTAAAATATTACAGCCCCTGTATCATATTTGTTTTTAGCAAGTACTGATCAATATTTACTAATTGGCCTATCAATTTCTGATTGTTCGTTTAAATGTAAAGTATTCATTGATATTTTAAAAATAATTGGTATTTGTTTTTCATAAAATTTACTTCGTATTAGATAATTTGATAATCTGCAAATCTAAGATTGATTAAATGGTTAAATCCGAACCAGAACTAATAAAAAACCAACAACGAGCATATGTTAATGACGTAAATCCCACCTAATCTATATGCCCTATTAGTATTCAATTTTCTAATTCCTAATATCGTCCATTATGTGAAAAGAAACCCAACGCCAATATGGTCGAAATAAGGGGCGAGAATACACAATAGGTATGCAAATGGTAGTGCACTGGCTATGCCATATGGGATGAGTTAGGATTAAAACTGATTTCACCCTACTTGTTGGTTCATGAAAGAAGCTCGTCCTCCAATCAAATTGCGGTATATTGTAATATTTTATCCTTCCGTTGCATATAATATTAAGGCAAATAATATGCATGGTATTTAATTAATAATAATTTT